TACTTTCTGGCTTTTGCAAAGCTATGATGAAAGCTCTAGCTATCTCAAACACAGCCAGGAATGGAATGAGCTTCTTTTTGTCTTACCACTAAGATATACCATTATATGAATTATTTTGGTAGTCTCCCTTAGTCCACAAAAATGTTCAGAGCAGAAAGCAGAATAAGATAGTAAGTTTATGTAAACTTAAAGAGGAATAGAAAAATACACATTGTATATTTTGGCCACCAATCTGCTATGCTAAAACCTTTTGCTTCTTGGTCTCCCATAAAGTTAGCTCCATGGTCTAATGGTTGATTCCCTGTGTAAAGTAATCCAACATAAAACCATCACCCCTACTGTAAAATAAAACAAAAGCGTAAGTTACCATGGAGACAAAGCCAACTCTGCTCTCAAAAATGGTTGATTCTTCCAAGACTAAACAGGTATTACTAGAAAAATCACAAGAGATAGTCATAGAGCCTGGTAGCTAAAAATCTGTATCCAGCAATTACACAACTAATCATGCTTAGATTATCCTGTGATAGAAAAACAAGGACAAACATTGCACTGAATGCTAATCCTTTGAAATCACTGCTTACAAACCAAATCCCTAAATCATGTACAAAGTTTAAATTATAATGTGCTTTCTACCTCTACTTAGCACATTATTAATGGGGTGACCACTCTGCTTGACCTCTTTGCTGCAATTTTCTAGAACTCCAGGACACCATATGGACAGCCAGATGGGCTGTTACAATTTAATGCCATTATTCTAAGGATGAAGTAAGGTATAAACATAATTTGCATTCTTTCCCACCCTTCCTGCATACTTTTATTAGTTTTTTTTTTTTTTTAAACTCAGTCATCAGATGGGAAGACAATACCCTGCTACCAAGGCTCAAATGCCAACTAATTACTACAAGAGATTCCAGCCCTGACATCACAGGCCAGGCCTCAGAACACGCTCCATCTTACTCAGTGACCCTGCTGTAGTGATTAATGGGTTCAGTGCTAAGCCCTAATGAGTATGTCAGATCTTAGATGCTCTCCAGGCTAATGTAATTAGCATTACATTGAACAGAATATTTCAGTTACTTGGTGGAAAGTATCATGCTTCATAGTCAACTATATACCTTTAAACCTCATAGTCTTTGAATTTATTTTGCAATCATCCATCTAAAAGGCATCTGTAAGCAGAGATATTTCAAATACCAGAATAATAATCTGAATATTTTTAAATAAAATATTTTCTTCTACAACAGTGTACCCAGACAGATAGACACGAGAGAGTTCCCATCTGCTGATTCACTTCTCAAATGCCTGCAATAGCCATGACTGGGCAAAGACAAAATCTGTGAGCTCAAGCTCAGTCAAGGTCTCCTTTGTGGGTGGCAGGGACCCAACTACTGAGCTGTCAGTTACCGTCTTCCAGCGTGCACATTAGCAGGAAGCCAGAGTCAGCAGCTGGGACTCAAACCTAGGTGCTCTGATACGGCCTATGAGAGTTTTAACCAGTGCATTAACCACTGAGCCAAATGCCTGCCACACTGATGCTTTCTTAAAATGCAAGTTCCTAGATTCTTCTGACAAAAAAAGGGCTTGGGATAAAGCATAGGACTATGTATTTTTTAAATAATGTACCCAGAATATGGAAGCAGGCGATCTGTTGACCAACTGGAAATCACACTGCAGTGTGAGTAACAGGACTGATACCTGTGGCTTAGATGAACTGAATCTACCAGATTTTTTGGTTTAAAAAGTTACATTTCTTAAAAATAAATCTATATTTACATAAAGAAATGTTTTCACATATATTGAGATTATAGTTTTAAATGTGCCATTTATTTTGTTAAAAAAATAAAAACTATCAGATAAGGCACAGAAATTATTACTAACAAACTATATAAACACATGAGAGCTGCATTCAACAGCACATATGGCAGGCAGTGACCTTTCTATACAGCAGGCAAGGGACCTAGAACTGTGTTTCCAATTTTAAAAGCAAGACCAAAGGTAGCAGAATTTCTGAAATTCCTGACTTTTCCATACTCAGAGATGAGCATGCAAAATATTTAATCCCTAATAACTGAGAAATATTCCAAGTATCACTTGGTTCTCATCTAGATATTACCATTATCAATTACTATCTACTAAATGTTTTATGTGCCTAGAACTCTTCCTGAAATAACCAAACACAAAATCCATAATAAACTAAGACACATTCATCTATTACTCTACACATGTCCCCCCAAATTTTAACTGGTTTACCAAGCTACCATTTTTGTGATGAATTTCAAAAATTTTTTTGTGTGCTTTAAAAAATTTGCACCACATATATTAAAAATAGGAAAAATGAGTATTAATATAGTAAAATCTGCATTTATGATAAAAATGGTATAGATATTTACTTATTACAATTTCATATAGAAAGTGGTTTGAGTAAATTAATTTGTCATTCCAATGCAGCTAGGGAATGGAAGGCTATCATATGACCATGCAAGTCCACAAATACATCCTGTTACATAGAATGGTGAATGATTGTTGAGGCAGCATACTTTGTCTAGGACTGGCTGCAGGCCACCCAGTTCAGTTTATTTCTCTAGAGAGCCTACTATTCCCAGCACCCATGGTCTCTGCCTCTAGGTAGAGCAGTATGAGTTCTGACCAGGGTATGTGTATAGCACTTCATCCTTTCTAGGCTTGTCCCCTGAAATATCTCATATGCTCTTCCATACTGTTTGTCTGTAGTCTTTGTCCAACAGATGTCCACAGCACACCTGAGGAACAGTATGAAGCCTAAGATGTTTTCATCACCAGAAGAAACACTGCTTGAACAAGAAATAAACTTATATTGCCTTAAGCCACTGAGATTTTTAGGTTGTCTGCTGAAAACTAATAGCAAAAGTAAACTAAGACTTGACTTCACTAGAAGACTACATAAAATTTTATCTTACTTATTATTTAGTCAACTATGTGCTCAATAAAAAATTGTGATAGCACCCAAAGCCCAAATTCAGTGGACGTTTATCAATTCACTACAGAAGTCTGCTATAGTTGCGTTTAAGATGGAAGAACCCTACATATCTTAACATGAGCACCTGTAGGATTCGAGACCAAGATGACTCTGTGTGTTGTTCTAATAAAGCATTATTAAAGAATACCTCATGCACAGAAGAGAGGAATAAGACATACTGCTGTAATATCAACTGCTTGTATAGTCATAAAAATAACACTGTTGGGACAGGTGTTTGGTGTGGTGGTTAAGACACCACTTGGGGCACGGGAATCCCACATTGGAGTGCCTAGGGCTAAGGCTCAGGCTCCTCTTCCTACTCCAGTGCTCTGCTAATGCGTATCTTGGGAAGAACAGATGATGGTTCAAGCAGTTAGGTACCTTCCACCCACATGGGAGACTTGGATTGAGTTCCAACCTCCTGACTTTGGCATGACACAACCCCAGTTGTTACAGACATTTGGTGAGTGAACCAGGAGATGGGCAATCCACCCCTTGACCCTTTATTTCTGTCTCATTACCTTTCAAATAAATTAAATACATAAATAAGTAAATTTTTAAATAACGCTGTTATATCCTTAAAGCAACCGTCTGAGAGATTCTCCAGATGCATTGTAGAAGCAAAACTGTTCACTGAGAGGCCCAAATGGATTTTAAAGATATCTTTTGAAATTGGAATAAAATAATCAGAAGGATAAGGGAGATGTTGTTGGATTAATCTAAAATCACAGATAATCTCAAAGTAGAAAACATACCAACACTAAGACATGTGAGGTTATTTCAGGATCTATTTTTGTTCCTTTGCAGTACAATGGAGAGAAAATATCTTTAAAATAATTATCACACCAAAGAACAAATAACAATGGTGAAGGTGGCACACAAGTCACTAGACCATAGTGGAAAGTGAATGGAGTTGGCAGAAGGCCTGCCCAAGATCAGTTACTATATGTAAAGAGTAAGGGCAGAGAAAGGCAGAGACCATTGCGATTACATGTTTGGAGTCTCAATTTCTAATGAGCTGTTGGATTTGGGAAAACTACTTTGTCTCTTTCCTCAGCCACCAAAAGGAGAGAAATTAATATTTATTTCATAGAGAACTGAGAAGACCAGGACATATCACATTCACAAGTACTGAGGCAGGCCTCTGTCGAAAACACATGTGAATAAATACAGGATAATATTACTAACAGTATATTTCTCTATCACCAAGAGCCTTATTATCCTTATTTGTAAAATATCCTGAGATTATACTTGTCCCTTAAATATTCAATTGAGAAACAGTAACTCTAAAGTCCATTTATTTTAAGTAATGACTTTTTAAAATCCAGACAACAGTCTGGTCTGCTGTTGAAATTGATTTAAAGAAACAGGTGACATAATAATTTCTTTAACTTTCAGAAACAAGATGGTATTTTGATTTATTCATATTTCTCATAACTCATTACCTCATTTGAACACAGAATATAACAAGATGATGGTCAGAAACCCATTAAATAATAAGATATCATTTTTAATGAGTTCTACAGAGATTAGGAATTACTTCAATTATAGGAATTTGAATGAGTCCAGGATGTACATGGTAACATGTCAGATCTTCAACTTAAGGTGAAGAAGCACTTTCTGGCTTTATAAACTGTCAACAAATGAAGCTGCCTTCAGAAATCATTTCTATCAGCTGTTGCAGTAGTAGTAGGGCAATAAAACAAGACTATTGTGTAGGCTTCATTCCAAACTAAATGGAATGATGCTTCACTTGAAAATTCCATAATTTAATAAATCTTGGTCTGTGCAAATTAAATACTCTGGTAAGACTCAAAATGAAGTGAATAGTTCAAGATGTTGGATCATTAAAATCATGGAAACTTCAGTTCTAACTATAATTTTTATTGGTTGTAGGTGATTCTAATATGAAACAAGGGTTTTAATATAGCAAGACATGCATGTAAACCTTGTAACACAGAATTGTTTTCTTAATCCAAAACATCACACTTTCAGGGAACCTTACCTCCCGCGTACATAACAGCCAGCATAATGGATGATATCCATGCTATTTCACTGTAGGATGTGTGGAATATTTCCTGAATTTCTTTGAAGAATACTGTGACGGCTTTGGGGAATGCATACGAAAATCCAATGGAGATAAAAGCTGCTCCGACCACAACCCAGCCCCATCCTCCATCAGGAGGTGGGTGCTGGGGTGGCTCACTTGGCATTGGTGGCATTTCTGCTCTTCTAATTGAACCTTAAATCACCTGAAGAAAAAAGAAAAAGAAAACCAATTTAAACCTTATTTCCATATGTATATCACTCTTATTAGTCACTAATACAGTACTTTTTAACAGCGAGTTTTCACAGATATTGTTAACATTCTTAAATTCATAATATTATCAGCAAATGTACACAAAAATTTGAGGTAAGGAATATAACTCTGAATCTTATGGATTAAAATTTGAAAGCATTTAATTTGTTTAGATGACAAGAATTTAAATCTGAACTCGTCAATCAGTAAGAGCCACCTGAATTTTATTTCAAAGCTTTAAGGAAAACGGAAGTGTCACCACTTTAAACAGAATGCTCTCTTAACCCAAAAGACTTATTTCAACATTTCCTATACAAAGTTCATAAAGATAACATATTAAATCTGATGAATTATAAAGAAGTAATTAGTAGGCATATATTATACTTTTTCCACTTTCAATAATTGAGAATATGAGAACAATCTCAGCCTTGATCTGTTTTCTAAACCTAAAGGATTAGAAATTATATAGAGGCCGGTGCTGTGGTACAGCAGGTTAAAGTCCAAGCCTGCAGCGCGGGCATCCCATAGACGTAGCAGTTCAAGCGCAGCTGCTCCACTTCTGATCTAGTTCTTGTTAATGTGCCTGGGAGGCAGCAGACAGTCCAAGTCCTTGGGCCCCTACACCCACATGGGAGAACCGGAAGAAGCTCCTGGCTCCTGGCTCCTGGCTTCAGATCGGCCCAGTTCCAGCCATTGCAGTCATTTGGGGAATGAACCAGTGGATGGAAGACCTTTCTCCATCTCTCTGCTTCTGTCTGTTACCTCTCTGTAATTCTGCCTTTAAAAATAAATAAATAAATCTTTAAAAAAATTGTATAGTTCTGTGGAGTTACAATGATTTTTTTCTTTAAAAAAAGATTTACTTATTTATTTGTTTATTTGAAAGGCAGAGTAAGAGATAGATAGACAGAATGAGATCTTCCATCTGTTGGTTCATTCTCTAAATGATTGCCAAAGCCATGGCTAGGCTAGGCTAAATCAAGGAGCCTGGAACTCTGAGGTGGCAGGGGCCCAAGTACTTGGGACATCTTCCACTGCTTTTTTCCAAGGTGCACTTGCAGGGAGCTGAATCGGAAGCGGAAGAGCCAGGATCCAAACCAGCACCCATATGAGATGCTGGCATTGCAGGAGGTGGCTTAACCCACTATGCCACAATGCCAAAGCTGGAATTAAGTTAATTTTAATGCTCTTCTAAAACTGGTATTACCTATCATTTTATTAATGATATATTTTGTGTATTTTTCATAGCAATGAACTTCTCCTAATTGGATAAATAGAATGCTGCTTTTTTGAGAAGGGTGGGGAAAAGGACTTTCTTTGGATTATAAACACTTGGTGGCTGGTTTATGGAAAGCAGCAGCCACCTTCCTGTGGGAGAAAATAACAACATATAACAAATTAATTAATTAAAGACATCTTGGTTGTTTTAACATCAACGTTTCATTGTAGAATGGTGTTACTTTCTAGCTATGAGCTATATTTGCCAGAATTTCTCAGTATTCTCCTTATACTACTCTCACTCAGTTTTTCAACTGAAATCTAGAGGGAAAGAGAGAAACACACTTATGCTGTTAAGACATCTGAAGTTAATTAAAAACTAATTTTTCCATGTCTTCAGAACACCTACCAAAAACTAAACAAGTATAGGAAAACAGAAGCAGATTTAATTTTTGTTTAATGTCAAATTGTATCTAAGATATTTGTAAGTGCTCTTCTATATGCACTTTTCAGGTTTTAGTAAAAATATTCTCTGGAGTTCTCAAATTTATCCAAGACCATAATATAACCAAGGACTTATTTTCCAGAAACTCATAAGAGAGAATTTACAATCCGAAGCTGCAAACAGGTAGAGCTCTGTTTTGCTAAACTAAATGCTAAGATGATAAGTAGTACAATGAAAGTAACGATGCAGAAAACACCATCATGATCATTCTTACTAAATTTTGCTTTTATTTATTTGAGAGATGGAGAGATAGACAATCAAACAGGGAGCACTGTCATCTACTGGTTTACTGCCCAAATACCAGCAATGGTTGGTACCGGGCTATGTTCCAGCCAGGATCTGGGAACTCAATTCAAGTCTCATAAGGGTGGCAGGAATCCAGTTACTTCAGCCATCACCACTGTCTCCAAAGGTCTGCATCAGGCAGAAGCTGGAGTCAGAAGACACTGGTGGGCATTGAACCCAAGTACTCTGATAGTAGATGCAGGTGCTCTAACTATAAAGCCCAATCTGGACTGCTCTAACTCTTGCATGTCTAGCTTGACAAATACACTTAAGATTTCTTCATTCATGGATGAAGGGAAATCAATATCATCTATTAACAGATATCAGGATTGAAGGTTAAAACACTTATTTTACATTACACGAGGCAGATATATCTAGGAGGGAATCTCATACACAACCTACTTCACTCATCACTTTTTTATTTATTTATTTTTTGACATCATTAATTGATACTCACCGTTCAGGTATAGAGTATCACTTTCTATTTAACGCTGAATCAAATAATGGAACAATTCTTGCAGTGCCTTTTGACATGAGCTATTCTCTCTTTCTATTGTCTCCTATTGTTACCCTTGTTTGATGATTGTGAAGATGGTCCAATTGTTACATTTTAAAATAATTAAAAATATATTAAGGGTATAAAACATGATGCTCTGATGTTCATATACAAAATGAAATGACTGCTACACTCTATACAAGTAACACATCCACTCCCTCTCAAATTCCACATCTCCCTCCCTCCCTTCCTCCCTCCCTTCTTTTTTCCTTCCTTCCTTCCTTCCTTCCTTCCTTCCTTCCTTCCTTCCTGTAGAAAGAACACCTGAAATGACCTCTTAGCAAATATCAAGTATACATACAGACCTATTAACCATATAACAATATAGTTTTGCTGTCTGTTAGAACTCTGGACTTAGCATCCTACATAACTGCAACTTTGGACCCTTTGACAATGCCACTCCCTCTTACCACAAATCATTTCCCCACTGCTCTCCCTGGCTCTGGGGACCACTGTTCTATTCTCTGCTTCCATGAATTCAACCTTTTTAGATTCCACATAAATATGAGATCACGCAGCATTTTTCTTTCTGTGTCTGGCTTTAGTCAATTAGTATAATGTCCTCAAGATTATTAACTTATGTTGTCACAAATAGCAGGTCAACCCTGCTATTTTTGAATAAGATCAACAGTAATATTTTATTTCCTTTATAACATTGATATGATTATATTAGAAAACAAGAGTTTGCAAACTTTTCCTGTAAAGGACCAGATAATAAATGCTTTAGGTTGGCCAGCGCCACGGCTCAATAGGCTAATCCTCCGCCTGTGGCACCGGCACCCCGGGGTTCTAGTCCAAGTTGCTCCTCTTCCAGTCCAGCTCTCTGCTGTGACCTGGGAGTGCAGTGGAGGATGGCCCAGGTCCTTGGGCCCTACACCTGCATGGGAGCCCAGGAGAAGCACCTGGCTCCTGGCTTCGGATCAGCACGGTGCGCCGGCCACAGCGGCCATTGAGGGTTGAACCAACGGAAAAAAGGAAGACCTTTCTCTCTGTCTCTCTCTCTCACTGTCCACTCTGCCTGTCAATAAATAAATAAATAAATAAATGCTTTAGGCTTTGCTGGCCATATGGTTTCCCTTCCAACTAGTTCACTCAATAGCTTTGGAACAAAAATAGCCAAAGACAATACTACCAAAAAGGGGAGGGGGGAACCTCACTATGCTCCAATAAAATTTTGCTTACAAACTAACATGAGAACTTCAACCTACTTACCTCTGTAATAGCATATTACAAAGTCAAAAAAAGAAACCCAAAATCCCATAATCACACTATCCTGTCACTATTAATAATTTTACACATTCTTTTCATTATTTTTCTACATACATATATTTTTGATTCCATAAAATATTATAACTCTGTGAATATTCTTTGTCACTTTGTGATTTTTCATTAGTTGTCTTTGTTAACATTTTTCTCTTAGCTAATACAATTTTTTTGCAATACAGAAGAATGCAAAAAATTTAAATTAGAACTTAAAATTATCAAGTAAAACCTTGATTGCCACCGTGATTGAATGAGAAAATTTTTTTCTGTATTGCCATATTATTTTTTCTTTGAAGATGTATTTTATGGACTTGGTTTTTTATTCATTCACTGAGAAATGTTTTTCAGAAAGAAATCTCAAATTAATGTTTTAGAATCAATCAGGGTAGAATGACAAATGCACCAAATGTTGCATTGGGGACTGTAGGTAAAAGTGTTTTATAATCTTAAATATTTTTTAATGATATGGAAAAGGAAAACTCCTTTGATCTTTCCAAAAATACACCATAAAATAGAAGTTATTCTTAACTAAAGAGACATACACAGCCTCATAAAGCATGGATCTAGATACAGTGACATTTTTTAATTTGATGGACTAGCTTCAAAACTCAAACTGCTTGTTTCTAGCTTACTGATTTAAAAGAATGATCATCTATACTATAATCTCTAAGGATACAAAAATGGTTAAAAGTTATTTGACTCAATAAATACTGAGTAGGTATTATGCTAAGCAATGTCTTCTTATCTCCAACAAGTATTCAATTTACTTTCCAAAAATAAAAGATTTTTTTTTTTTTTTTAGTTTTTAAATGATGTAAATCTCGGATATTAAGAAACTTGACCCTGGGGCCGGTGCTGTGGTGCAGCCGGTTGACACCCTGGCCTGAAGGGCCAGCATCCCATATGGGCGCCGGTTCTAGTCCCAGCTGCTCTACTTTCTTTTCTTTCTTTCTTTTTTATTTTTTTGACAGGCAGAGTGGACAGCGAGAGAGAGACAGAGAGAAAGCCACAGCAGAGGGCTGGACTGGAAGAGGAGCAACCGGGACAGAATCTGGAGCCCCAACCAGGACTAGAACCTGGGGTGCCTGTGCCGCAGGCGGAGGATTAGCCTATTGAGCCGCGGTGC